ATTATCTTTTATTCAGCTTTACTTGACTGAGTTAAAACCAGCAATAATCTCTAACATGTCTGTTTTTATTTTTCCTTTTAGAGCCCATATTAACCTGTTGGGGCCTCTCACAGTCATATGTATTTCTGAAACTCTGTAACTACCAGTTTAACCTTGTTAATAATTTCCAGATAATAAATGGCAGATAGATGCTGGTTGTATCACTGTGACGTAAATTATGTGATGTTTAATGTAGTTTATTTGTTTTATCTTTAGCTCTAACACAGGTTATTTGTTTGAGGATTTTACAGGAAATGACGGAGGCCTTGTTGTTTTAAACCTCTTTTTTCATAAATTAAAGATAGTTAATCATTCAATATGAGGGCTAGGAGGTTGAAATTCACAGGATTTCACCATCATTTTTTTCCACAATAAATGTACCAAGTTTCATGATAGTAGACAGAAGTGGCTCTAAGATAATTTAGAGTGCATTGAAAATGCAAATCAGATAACCTCTAGCAAATCTGTACAAAACTCCGCAAAAAATCAATTAAATTTTAGAAACAACAATGCTGAATTCTGTTTTTTATGCACCTAAAATATTCCTAAATGCTAGACTCAACCATAAAACTTTGTATCTAAACATTTAAATAAAGATATACTCATTTATTAGATTTTTATCGTGCCTTTTTTGGACGGAAAAAATAGTTTCCTCTGCTTTGTTTTCGTTCCGGCGCGACAGACGGGCAAACTACATTAACTTCCATATATGGTCAGACAGGTGATTTTCCCGGCTCCAAATTCGGACCGTTATTACAGCACTGAGTGCCTGTTGGATGGAAGTAGCTGTCAATTAAACTGCCATGTGGCTGGCATAAGGGTGCTTTTCTCTGATTGGTTTATTGGAATAAAAGTCTCGTAATTACGTCATTTTACGCTGTAAAAAGATGCTGATTGATTAAAATTTGTACGTGGGCGTTTACCGATTTCAGAGATACTGAACTTCATTGGACATGTTTTTTTTTTCAATACTTTAAAGTTTAATTTAATGTCGCTGTTTTAGGGGTTTGTGTAACTTCGATGAAAATCCAAGAGCAGATTAATTCAACTTTTTAAATATAATTTTACTTTTAAACGAAGGTTAATCGTTGGAGTTTTGTTTTCTACAACAAGCCACTTTTTGTCTTTGAAAGACTGTTTTCCGTCCAATAAACGGTTTCTCAACGGTGATGCGACAGGTTAGCATGAAAGTTATTTGCCATTTACTGACGTAAGTTAACACGCATCTATTTTTCTGTCGTAAATTTTTTATTGAGATTCTTTAATCCGCAGATAGACGAATATCCGAGCTTTGAAATAACTTGTGCTATGTACGTATCGCTATTTCCGATCGCTATGAAAATTTAAATTATATTTATTTATTAATTTTTACATGTGAACTTGGGTCGCATACAACCTCCGCATTATAAAAGGTTAAAGGACAGAACAGATGAAAAAATCCCAGGTGAGTCCTGACTCTGATGGCATGATAGATTTTATCATCCTTGTATGTCTGGGTGTATGATAAT